GAGGAGGAGCAGCCGCCGCGGGGGGAGACACGGGGCGAGTGTGCGCTGGGCGGGGAGACAGTGCCGCTCTCCGTCTGGCCGAGGAAGAGCAGCCTCGGAGGAGGCTCCTCCGGGAGCGAGTGCGCGTGTGTCCGCACGGGCCCCGCACGGCCCGCACGCCCGCCCCTCGCGCCGGCCCGGGCAGCCGAGCCGGCCCCGGACGCCCCTCACAGCGGCGCGCGCCCGGCCGTCCGTGCCCCGGGGAGCCGGCGCCTCACGCACACACCGGCCGGTCACGCGAGCGGCGCGAGAGCACGCGAGAGCAACGCGCGCGCCTCGCTCCCTCCCCTTCCTCCGCCGGCCGTGCCTCCGCCTCCCTCGGGCCCGAGGCGGCCGCGCGCGGGGCGGACAGCGCCGCCACCCGGTTGGCGCCAAGACCTGCCGCGCTGGGCGCCTCTGGGAAACCAGCCCCAAGAGGGCGAGCGGAGGAGGAGCCGCGTGGCGGGAAGCGAGCCCTGGTTCCCGCGGCCCCGCGAGGGCACTCGGGGTAGCCGAGCTTCATCTTTCGCCAAGGAGATGGAGTTCATGACTTTGGGGGTCGTCTTGAGGGACGTGGACGGCAGTAGTTGAAAGATGGTTAATTACTCGATGAAAATGAACTGATTTTCTCCCCGGGGACACATCTGCAAACTGAAGCAAAGTTTTGCCACATGGCACAACATGGGCGGCTCATTCTTGCTTCTTCTGACAGCACCTTAGTCCTCCCCTCCACCGTGGAGTTCTAAAGTTAATATTTCGAAAGTTGCAAAGTAAAATAGCATTGAGTCAAGTCGTTCTGAAGATACGGTCTTTGGGCCACTGGCCTCACAATCACTCTGGGTACTAGCTGGAAACTTAGGTTTTTGTCCTCAAAGCTACAGAATCAGGAACTCTGGGAGGGAAACTCGGAAATAAGGATTTACAAATTAGGTAAGTAGTTTTTGTGAATATAGAAGCACTTTTCCCCCCAATGTTTTAAGCATACCCAGGATTAACTTCTTCCATCCAAAGGAAAACAGCTGTCAAGGAAAACTCAGTGCAGCAGTGTTTGAACAATTTAACGTAAATAATTGAAAACAAATGAACCTCAAGAACACATTTCAGAAGATGAAGTTGAGAAAAGGATACAGTAATATAAAATAGCATTCAGCTCTTGTAACTGACCACTACCATAGTTTAAAATTATATTCAATTGTTTATTTAGATTATTCTTTTTTTTAAATTTCACCTTCCTGTGTGGATAAATTACTCTTGGTGCATACCTATTGGTCTATCCCCCCCACACACACTAGCACATCCTATAACTGGTCCTTAAAAGGGCTTGTTTTTATGGTATTATACAAGGGTGAAATCATCTTGGAATCTTAATCTACAGTTGCTGTTTTGTTAGAACTCTGCCCAAAGGTCGCGCTTTGTTCTTGGCGGTTTAGAACTTCGGGCAGAATTCCTGTACAATCATCCTCTTCCGGCTCGGCGCCTGTGGCTCAAGCGGCTAAGGCGCCAGCCACGTACACCTAAGGTGGCGGGTTCGAATCCCCAGCCCGGACCCGCCAAACAACAATGAC